AAGTTTAACTTTGTTTGAGCTTTTATATTGTTAGGAGCCAACTATCCATTACACAGACTGAGCTTGCCACTGATTGGTGGCAAGCTAGTAAGCGGTTTTTTGATGGGACGGATGATGATCACCCCACACTTCGAGAGCCATCACCTGATCGGACCGATTCTACAGCTCGACACCCGGAGCCATCACCTGATTGAGCCTCTTCTCCACCTCCACCATCACCTATTCCATCACATCATCGAGCCTCTTCTCCACCATCACCTCATGATAGACGACCGGCAAAGAGGCCACGGTATTTATCTCCCTGTTCTCCACCTCCACGGGATGAGTTAGGGGAGTTATGTGATGAGGTCGGTGCTTTGCGTAATGAGGTTGGTACTTTACGTAAAGATAATGGTGCATGGCATGATGAGGTTTGTTATTTACGTGGTGAGGTGGATTTTTTACGCGATGACAATGGTGCGCTACGTGGTGAGGTATCTACTTTACGTGATGAGGTTGCTGCTCTACGCGAGATTGTTTTATCGTTATAGAATGAGGTTAATACTCTACGCAATGAGGTAAATTTGTTTAATATTATACTAAAAATGCAAATAACCTTTTTTGGCATTATTTATTTATTTATTTACTGATTTATGTATTAATTTATTTTCAGCGGCCCGATAAGGTAGATGTTTTAGGTCGGGTTTTTCTTGCACTATGGGGTTCACGCATCAGACATCGTGCACGTGCCATTACGTCTCCGTTCACCCACTAGTGCCAAGACTCCATAAGAAGAAACCCGATGCACCTATCATCATTCAAGAGGCACCTCCTATCGTTAGAGAGGCCCCTCTCATCATTGAAGAAGCCCCTCCCACCGTTCAAGAGGCCTCTGTCATCATTCAAGAGTTCCCGCCCGCCGTTCAAGAGCCCGATTCACATGGCATCATATATCGATATATTGATAAACCCCTCCTGAGTCTGATATGATGGATGCGAGTTGGATTTTGTATGTGTTACCGGCCAATACCATTCCTCAGCAGGAGAGGGAAATACTACTGGACACAATTACGGATAATATCCTTTGGGCTAAGACCGCAGTTGATTTTTATCTACATGAGCGGAGCAAGGGGTGTTATTCTGACCTATGCCAACTCGACGATGTTATTCATTTGTTTCTTGATCGGTCTTGGTGGGGTATTTTATTAGGGGTTAAAGATAATGGCTACCTCGAAGGGATGATAAGTCTTATATTCTTCTTATATTATGTTTTGATTAATTTTTTTAAATTATTAATAAATTCACTAATATATGTATTTTTTTATAAAACAACATATTGATGCATGGGTGTCACGTCTTCTAATAATAAGGAAATTGAGGAAAATAAGAAATACTCGATGGACTATTATACCGACGTCTTTTCACGTAGCTCACTTGAAGGATCCGAGAGATGCTTCATATACGTTGGGTAATGGAAAAGCTAAACTTTATCCTGCGTGGTGGGAGGTCGATAAGGTTAGTATTTATTTTTTTAATATTTTAAAGGTTTCCATAAATTTTATTTGATGTGAGCAATTATTTATGATTGCAGGTGTTTATCCCTGTTTTAGAACGTCATCATTAGCTTATCGTCGAGCTTCAGCTCCCATCCCTAAAGACAATGGTATATGACAGCATGTTGAATTACATACCATTGTCTGATTTGAAAGATATTATTTGTAAGGGATGGAGCGCTCATTTGGTGAAATACTTGGACGCGATTGATTATTGGACTAATTCTGGAAACAAGAAGCCAAAAAAGTTCAAAGTTACAATGATCAGAGACGATACCGTGCCACAACAAACGGAGGGAGCCAGAAGGCATTGTGGTCCTCTTGTATGCATGTGCTTGGAGCATTTGACGACAGGGAGTAAACACCTTCTACCTCCCACAGATAGAGATAGAGGTGCAGTAGGCTTATGGTTTCGGCATTTTATGGCTCGAGCGATATATGCGAGACGTTGCTTACCTGCAGCCGTGTGCTGAAAGTTTGCATAAACAATTGGTAAGTTTGAGCAAGTGTTGTTAACATATATACTCTTTATTGGTTTGAAAATGTTTGGTTAAGTACCAAGAATTCAATAATTTGCTGTTTGTTGGTTTTAGATGTGTAGAAAGTGTTGGTTTTCGATGTGTAGAAAGTGTTTTTGAGCAAATATTTGGTTTCTGCAGGTTATTCCTGACATGAGCTACGTGAAATTGATGTATTTGTGCATAAACAACAGTCTGGGGTATACTTTTTTGCTTGTTTAATTGAATTTTACATTGAAAGTTGATTTGTTTAATTGATAAGGAAATAAGAATTATTTTTTGCTTGTTTAATTGATTTGTAAAAGTTGAATTGTAAAAGTTGATGTGTAAATAAGACTTATTTTTTTGCTTATTTAATTGATTTGTAAAAGTTGATTTGTTGTTTTAAATTCAATCTGCATTATGTTGAAGGCAAAAAAGACCTGTTGAAGGTAAATTAGCAACGCGAAAGTCAAATTCGCGTAGCGATTTTCGGTTTGCGATTTCGCATTGCGAATTTGACTTTCGCGTTGATCGCAACATACAACATCAAGTTATATACAACATCAAACACATTCCAAGCTATAAATACAAGCTAAGGACACTTGAAGAAGCAAGAGAACAACTATCCAAGCAATCAAACACAAGAGAAAATCCCAACATGATAACAACTGAATAGATCATAGCAATGTTCAAACTCAAGTTACTAATGAATGTCTAACTTATAGAAGAACATACCTTTATTAAGTTGATAGTTGATAATTTGGGAGAGAAATCATTGAAAAATTATATAGAAATAAAATTACGTAAATAAAAATGTCTTCCGAATATTATATATTTCATCTAGCTCATGAAGATAGGATAACCGTTAATCGAAACAGTGTGAGAGAAACATAGCTGATGTAGAAGCAACAGCATATTTAAAATCTCGAAGGCGATCTATTTGGTTCTCAAACATTTAAAGCATCAGAAGCATTTCGGGCGTATGATTTGGGTGGTACTCAGAAGCATTTCAAGACTTCTGATTTGGGTAGTACTCGGAAGCATTTTGGACTTATTATTTTTTTGTTATTATTACAAGTTGTAGCCCTCAATTATCGGGATTTTTAGTTTACATTTGTTGCATTTCTCGTATACCACCCAGATCATACGCCCGAAACATTTCTGACGCTTTAACTGTTTGAGAACCAAATGCATCACCATTGAGATTTTAAATCTGCAGCTGCTTCTACATCAAGTATGTTTAGCTAAGATAGTTTCAGTTTAGGGTTAAACTACCTCAGTGAACTGACTAAAATAGATAATATCCGAAAGGCATTCTTCAGATATCCAATCTTCCTGCTTGTTAAACAAAAGTTACGATGGTCGGGATTTCCCTCGCGTTTAAAGTTGAAAAAAAAACAATGGAAATTAGGAATAATCAATGATAACATGCATATTGGCTAAGTTATTCCATTGAGTAAGTTGTTTTTTGGATGGAACAAAGGCTTGTGCTAATATTTATAGTGGAACCGAAATTTATATTAAATTCAAACTTAAATTGAAATTTAAATTCAAACTCCAATTACATATTAAATGAATTTGAAATGCAGTGTTAAATTGAACATGAAAATTGCATAATTTATTCATATTGTTCAAGTAACATGCTTTATGAACCATCAAGCTATAAGACAATATTAATTGAGTTCAAAGCTGAGTTGTGAGTTGATGGGGTTATCACACTTGTCACATGGTTGGAATAAAGTACTCACATGGAAGAGATATATTGTTTTATTATGCACAGCCCATCTCATCTAAATGAAAATATACATACAATATAATCAAACCAAAACATACATACACAACAAATTTATACATAACAATGTTCAAATAATGTACCCACAAAAACGAAATTAATCCGATGAAAAAGGGTTATTTCTAACGAAGTCCGAAACATTATTTTCCAAATAATGTACCCATAACAATGTTCAAATAATGTGCCCACAACAATGTTTAATTGATTTGTTGTTTATTTTTAATATGCATTATGTTGAAGGTAAAAAAGACCTGTTGAAGATAAACTTTCGCAACGCTTATTTCGCGTTGCGAATCTTACTTTCACGTTGCGAATTTGACTTTCGCATTGATCGCAACATACAACATCAAGTTATATACAACATCAAACACATTCCAAGCTATAAATACAAGCTAAGGACACTTGAAGAAGCAAGAGAACAACTATCCAAGCAATCAAACACAAGAGAAAATTCCAACATGATAACAACTGAACATATCATAGCAATGTTCAAACTCAAGTTACTAATGAATGTATAACTGAAAATGTATGCATTCACACATAAAATACACATAATACAACATTTGCATTTAAAAATCACCTAAGTTAATAAGTCCCAAAAGGTGAAGCCGGTTGTGATTGGGATTTTGATTTTGATTACGATTTTGATTTCCTTTTCCTTGGCACCATATGAGCTTTGGATTTTGATGAGGATCCTTTTTTTGGTAGAGGAAAAGATGATTGTGATGGCACTGGTGATCCACAGGTCAACTTTGTATGACCACTTTCCTTGCACCGACTACATGTCGATATCCTCTTCTCTTCACCCTTAGACGGTATACGATCGTGATTTTTTGGTCGGCCAGGTAGCCTGTTGTCCATGACTGGTGGCAAAACTGTTTGTAAGTCATCTGGTATGTCTCACTCAGAAGGATATGGACATGGGTAGATAATCTCGGCATAAGTCTGTCGATATACTTCTGTAGTGTAGCAATCCATAGCGTATGCGCTTGAATCATCTTGGTTTAGATGAAGAGCAACTTTTATAACATGGCCACACGGATAACCAGATGTTTGTCATTTCTTACAACTACACGTCTTTGCATTTAGATCGACAATCCCATTTAAGTTATTATCCAATACTTCAAACAAAGTGTTTGAACATGGTTCAACTCTCCAAGACGTTGACTTCACAAGACGTTTCGTTATCTTTTTTTCAGTCCATGGTGTAACACGACGTTCCAATGTTCTTGTAAATTTAAATAAATAATACTTAGTAAAATATATGATAAGTTACGAATTTAAAGAAATAATACATGCATGGTTTCTTTTCTTGTAGTACCACGGTTGAATAGAGGCTCGAAAAAACTCCATTAACATAGTAATGGGTAATTTTCGCGAATGACGACTTAGAGCGTTGATTGATTCTGCACTATTAGACGTCATGAAACCATATCTTGCTCCAAGTTGATATACTCTTGACCATCTTTCAAACCCGACATCTTCTAGTGTTTGAGCACATTAAGGCAAAACACGTCTTAAACAATTTATATGCTTATTAAAATCCACTTCCCGATAAGCTTTTACAGCCTTCCAGTATGTCCATTTGTGATTTTTTATACCAGCAGACCTTGATTTTAGATTTATGTACAAATAAACACCATAAAGTCCATGAAAAGCATCTGGAAAACACCTTCTAACAGCGTTGTCAATTGAGTTTGCCCTATCAAATATGATTGTCAGATTGCTAATAGGACATATGCAATCCCTACGATGCCCCATAAACCATGTCCATGAATCAGAGGTTTCAGATTTGCCAACCCCGTAAGTTATTGACAGTATCCTATTGCTAGCATCCATGGCTACTGCTAATAAGTTTACTCCAACGTATCGACCTTTCAAATATGCTCCGTCAACTATAATAACTGGGCGTATGCAAGTAATAAACGAACAAATCTACAAAATCATATACACAAGAAATATAATAATTTAAATGTGAAATGCATGCAACTAACAAAAATGAGTCAATAAAATTATAATTATTTACTAACCGCAACACCAATGGCAATAAACAGCAACTCAAAGCATCCATCTCTATCTGTTTTGATATGATTTACCGACCCAGGATTTTTCAGCTTTAAATTGTGACAATAAGCTGGCAGTTGGGCAAACGATGCTTCTGCCGACCCCCTAAACAATTCCAAGGCATAACATTTGGCTCTCCAAGCTTGAGAATATGAGATACTAATCTTGAACCGAGCATTCATATCAGTCATAATTTCATGTCCCTGGTATACCATTCCATTCAAAAACATTAACTCAGCCAGAAAACCAGCCAACACCTTTTTGTTTGCCTGTCTATGGTGAGGAAAAACTTGGGTTCTTGAACATGTATGTTTATCAATAAAAGTCCTAACTTGAAACATTTCACAATCTTTCATCCTCTTTGCAATCATACGCCACGTATAGTTTTTCTCAATCATACACCTTGTTACGAAACAATCTTTGCTTGATTTGTTAACTTTTAGTTGATATCCATCTTACACACATTTCGAATACAAAGCTATCTTCAAGTCTTCCTTTGTATCAAAACAATCATCTTTCTTGATACGAATAACTTTTGTGTAACAATCAACTACTATCTTTACCAACTCTTCTTCTGGTATCTGAAGTAATTCTGGCATATTCCTGTGGCATTTTCTTCTTTTTCTTTTCTTCGGGGACTTTTTCTTCTTTTTTTTCTTCTTCAGGGTTATATGAATTACAGAATGGATGTTCAACATGTTCATTCACAGTCGTAACTTCCTCCTCATTATCATCAACAACATCTTCCTCGGCAGTGATTGTTTCATCATCAAAATTCGGGTATTGACCAATATCAAGATCATTACATGCAGGGTCTGTTTCTTCTTCCATCACATCATTAAAATCTGAGTATTGACCAAGATCAAAGTCCGGGTATTGACCAAGATCAAATTTCGAATACTAACTAGTACTCACAATTTTTTCTGTTGGCTCATAATCGTCTAACTGGTCAATACAAAAACCGGAATTTGGTGCTGAAAGTTGATTGGGATTTGGATTAGGAAAAGGTTGTGGGTTTTGAGATTGTGTTTGATATTGTGTTTGGTATTGGAAATGTGGTGAAACAAAATTTTCTTGGTGATGAAATTGTGGTGGAACCATTAAATTTTGAGGTTAAAGAACTTAGTTGATTACTACTCACTACTGACCCAACTTCACTACTTCTAGGTTAACAACATACAATGTAACATCATCTTCTTACGAAACACTAATATAAGCAATGAATCGTTCAATATCTTCATTGTCAGTTAATAAATAAACTTTACATTTTCTCAGATAAGATAGCCTAAATCCACTTAGAGGCTCTAAATTCAATTTCTTTGCAATACGTAACATTAGAGTTTCATAAGTTAACTTTTTTAATGACAGGTTTAGTTGAAGATTCATGGGTAAAGGCACATATTGTAAAACAACCATTTGATCGTTGCCAGTATATTCTTACCATGGGAATGCCAAGTACCAAATAGATTTCCCCATTTGCCTGAGCAAGTTTGAAGAGAAGCAGTGCCTTAAAACGATAGCGCATTGCAAACATGTTTTTCACATCGAATGTATTGACACGTGGTTTTCTTGCCAATTTTCCTGTCCCGTCTGTAGGGCGACCAGATTGCTCGAGAGCATGGACGGCGGTAGCGGTGAATTACGTGTAATGCAGGAGAGGATTGATCCGGTTGATATAAGTGACACGTGTACGGTAATGGAAACGGTATCAGGGATGAGTAAGGCGAGTAGCTGTCCAAGTTTAGAACAACGACCCATGTTGCGACGAACATTGAGCTTTTGATACTTACAAGTTCCAATGAGACTGCAAGCAACAGATGTTAATAAAAGAGAAAATAACCTCAGTGACAAAAAATGTCTTATAATATATGAATTTAACCAACTTGTTTTGGATTTGCCAAAATGACCAACAAATTCGCAACGCAATCTCAAATTCGCAACACGGATTCTAATTTCGCAACCCAGTTTCCAATTTCGCAACGCGAATATGTAAATCGCATTGCAATTTTCCAAATTCGCAACGCGAAAGGCAAACTCGCAACGCGATAGTCAAATTTGCAACACGAAAGTCAAATTTGCAACTGAATTTCAAATTCGCAACGCGAATTTAATTTTGCAACAGGTTTTAGTTTTGCAACACAAATGTTTTGGGTATATAACAACGCAGCAGCAACAACTCATAACCTAAATCCCTAAATCGCAACTCATTCCATCTTCATCTATCACTCTCTCCGGCGACATCCGTTCCTATATCCAACGATATCTTTACCCATCTCTATTTTTTTTACATAATTTTATTTCTATATAATTTTTCAATAATTTCTCTCCCAAATTATCAACTATCAACTTAATAAAGGTATGTTTTTCTCTAAGTTAGTAATGATATCTAGTTTATAGCTCGTTTGTTTAGTAAATTAATTTACAATTTTTAGAATGAAATCATCTAATATTGATCATGTTTGGATAGATTTGTGTTTTGGAGGGTCATGGGAGAATGTTCATGGTGTTTTACAATATGTGCCTTTACCCATGAATCTTCAACTAAAACTGTCATTAAAAAAGTTAACTTATGAAACTCTAATGTTACGTGTTGCAAAGAAATTGAATTTAGAGCCTCTAAGTGGATTTAGGCTATCTTATCTGAGAAAAGGTAAAGTTTATTTGTTAACCGACAATGAAGATGTTGAACGATTCATTGCTTATATCAGTGTTTCACAAGAAGATGATGTTACATTTTATTTTGTTGAACCTAAAGTAGTGAAGTTGGGTCAGTAGCGGGTAGTAATAAACTAAGTTCTTCAACCCAAAATTTAATGGTTCCACCACAATTTCATCACCAAGCAAATTTTGTTTCACCACATTTCCAATACCAAACACAATATCAAACACAATCTCAAAACCCACAACATTTTCCTAATCCAAATCCCAATCAACTTTCAACACCAAATTCCGGTTTTCGTATTGACCAGTTAGACGATTATGAGCCAACAGAAAAATTGTGAGTACTAGTCAGTATTCGAAATTTTATCTTGGTAAATACCCAGACTTTGATCTTGGTCAATACACAGATTTTGATGATATAATGGAAGAAGAAACATACCCTGCATGTAATGATTTTGATATTAGTCAATACCCGAATTTTGATGATGAAACAGCCGCTGCCGAAGAAGATGTTGTTGATGATAATGAGGAGGAAGTTACGACTGTGAATGAACATGTTGAACATTCATTCTATAATTCATATAACCTTGAAGAAGAAAAAGAAGAAGAATAAGTCCCCGAAGAAAGGAAAAAGAAGAAAATACCACGGGAGTATAACTGGAATACGCCAGAATTACTTCAGATACCAGAAGAATAGTTGGTAAAGATATCAGTTGATTGTTACACAAAAACTATTCGTATCAAGAAAGATGATTGTTTTGATACAAAGGAAGACTTGAAGATAGCTTTGTATACGAAATGTGTGGAAGATGGCTATCAACTAAGAGTTAACAAATCAAGATAAGATCGTTTCGAAACAAGGTGTATGATTGACAAAAACTGTACGTGGCGTATGATTGCAAAGAGGATAAAAGATTGCAAAATGTTTCAAGTTAGGAATTTTATTGATAAACATACATGTTCAAGAACCCAAGTTTTTCCTCACCATAGACATGCAAACAAAAAGGTGTTGAGTGGTTTTCTGGCTGAGTTAATGTTTTTGAATGGAATGGTATATCGGGGACATGAAATTATGACTGATATGAATGCTCGGTTCAAGATTAGTATCTCATATTCTCAAGCTTGGAGAGCCAAATGTTATGCCTTGGAATTGTTGAGGGGGTCGCCAGAAGCATAGTTTTCCCAACTGTCGGCTTATTGTCACAATTTAAAGTTGAAAAATCTGGGTTGGTAACTCATATCAAAACAGATAGAGATGGATGCTTTGAGTTGTTGTTTATCGCCATTGGTGTTGCGGTTAGTAAATAATTATAATTTTGTTGACTCATTTTTGTTAGTTGCATGCATTTCACATTTAAATTATTATATTTCTTGTGTATATGATTTTGTAGATTCGTTCGTTTATTACTTGCATGCGCCCAGTTATTATAGTTGATGGAGCACATTTGAAAGGTCAATACC